TTTGAAAATCTTCAGTTCTTCATTACTGGCATATTTAAAACAATGCAGCTGACTGGGCTCTATTTTTCTTTTTCTGAAGTACAAAACATTTTTCTTCTCCACCACTGCTTTGTGATTCATACTTCTGTCAGCCGGCATGTTCAGGTAAAACCAGGGTTTTCCCTTACTTGGAAACTTACCACGTAATATCCTTTCTCGGAACTATTTGAGTTGGATCTCAAGAACAGATATGACTTGGGATGGGTGAGAGGCATTAGGAATGAAAATGCTTTTGCTATGGCAGATAATGTCCTTGGAAATCTTGCCCATCCCTCTCATTTCACAGATGAGAGGCAAAACCAGAAGCTAACCATGGAAGGCAGAAACGTACAAGGAGGCAGAATTCAGCTCAAATTAACTTCCAGCAAGTAGAATGCTCAACAGGAGAACTTGCCTCCTTTTGCTGGGTATTACAGTGAGTCCTCATCCTGAAGACAGTAGAGAATGGATGGTCGTCAGTCAGGCACTAAGGCAGGAGGTTGAAAATGGTTTCTTCTTTTTAAAGTTTATTTATTTTGAGAGGCAGACAGAGTGAGCAGGGAAAAGGCAGAGGGAAAGGGAGAGTCCCAAGCTCCGTACTGTCAGTGCAGAGCCCTGTGTGGGTCTCCATCCCACCAACCACGAGATCATGACCAGAGCCGGAATCAACAGTCAGCCGCTTAACTAAGCCACCCAGGCCCCCCTGAAGATGGTTTCTAAGGCCCTCTTGGACTGATTTTTATTGATTTTGAGAAGCCAGAGCAGAACAGGGGGAACACTGTGTGAGCAAACCCATGGGCATAAATGTAAGGTGTGGAGGGGGCCCTGTTATATTACCACTATTTGATGTGACAAAAATTCTTTGCTTCACCAAAGCAAACTCAGGGTCCTGAACCTTCTCCTGGGCCCATCTGCGCATTTCCTTGTAAAATCTAGTTCTAGCAAGAACCCTGTGAAGTCAGGATGAGTCCCTCATCCTCCACCATCACCCCAGGGTGGGGGACCTACTCACCCGGACCCATCTTCAGCAAGAATCCAGTTAGGGGTCAGTTTATCCAAAACCCCTCTTGCTCCCCCTTATGTATATTTTTTTCTCTTAGGAATTTTCTATTCACTGACTACCCTCCTTCCCCACCATCCTTTGGTTGGTTATGAATTCCCACCTGACCAGCAGTATTCAGACATTAGCCCAGTTCTATGGAGAGGCCTCTGTTCCCCTACTGCAAGAGTACTGAATAATAAAAAATATTTTTATTGCCCTACTGACCAGCACTTTTTTACAAATCTGGTTTTTAGATGTGTGAAGAGAAGACATGCAGAGACCAGCTCAAGGAAAGCCTGGGCTATGCGGCTAAGGATTTCGCATTTTATTCTCTAAGAAGGGAGAAGATACTGAAACTTTTTGATAAAGGAGTGACAAGATAGGTGTAGTGTTTTAGGGAAACTGAGAGCAAATAAAGATAATAATCCCTTTAGGAGACCATATACTCCAGGGGAGGAGTAATAAGGACCTGAACCCTGAGCTTAGCAGCAATGGAAACAAAGACGACTATGAAAGAGATGTAGAACTGTAAGGGACAAGACAAGGCCATCACTTGGGTGAGGGAGGCTTCCTCTTCACACGCCTCCCCACTCACCACACAGCCGTCCGGGACACGTGGTCCAGCTTCTCACTAAGTAGAGCAACCCAGGGTCTTCCATTCTTGGGTCTCCTTGTCCTACCTCACCCAGCAAGTTCACTGGTTTCCTCATCTGTACAATGGGGTTACTATGAACATCTGCTTCACACACAGGCTGTGACGATGACCTGGCTTAATCATCTGAAAACCACTGGAAAAGGGCCAGGCGGAGTATATGCCATATGCCAGCTACTATTACTACCATCACTTGGAAATCCCACCTCTCCCACGACCTCAATTCTGAAGCCTTCCCCAGTCCATGCTTACTGAACCTGCCCAGGACTTGATACAATTCAGATGTAGGAAGATGAGAAGAACCAAAGAAACCTCTGGTCTAACCCTGAGTTTACAGAAATCTTAAGAGGGGGCAGTTTGTGGGAAAGATGTATCTGGTTTGAAACTTGTAACGTGAAACTTTTAGAGGTCCAAATATAAATGCCCTGCAGTCTGCTGGAGACCCAAGACTGGAACTTGGGAGGGACTAGAATCACAGGTGCAAACTTAAAACTTATTCACATAGAGAGAATAGTTGAGACCACAGGAGTAAGTGGGTTCCAAGGGTAATGGTGTAGAAGAGACAAAATGGCATGATGACCAAACATTCCTTTGAGTACTCAGGGAGTGAGAAAAGAGGAATCATTATGGGAAATAGGGATAATCAGGAGACTCAGATGAATAAAATGTTATGGCAACTTCAAAGATATTTAAAAAGGGGCGTCTGGGTGGCTCAGTTGGTTTTAAGCATCCAACTTCAGCTCAGGTTATGGTCTCACAGTTCGTGAGTTCCAGCCCCACATCAGGCTCTGTGCTGACAGCTCAGAGCCTGGAGCCTGCTTCAGACTGTCTCCCTCTCTCCATGCCCCTTCCCTGCTCACGTTCTGTCTCTCTCTCTCAAAAATGAACATTAAAAAAAAAAAAAGATACTTAAAAATTATGGACACCTGAGTGGCTCAGTCAGTTGAGCATCTGACTTTGATTCAGGTCATGATTTCACGGTTTGTGGGTTCAGGCCCCACTGGGCTTTGTGCTAACAGCATGGGGCATGCTTCAAATTGTCTCCCACTTTCCCTGCTCCTGCTCTCAAACATTAAAAAAATAATAATTTTTAAAAAGATATTTAAAAAATAAACCCAATTTCATGCAGTGGTCCAGATCAGTCCCAGGTCTGAGATGCCCTGAAGGAGGGAGTCATGAGGTCTTTGCGTGGCAGGGGAGTTCAGCGTGTGGGCAGAGCAGTGGTCGATCATGTGCAGGGACTATTCATCAGCTAGCAGCTCTGCCTGTTCAAGGGTCTTTTCCAGAGCTCCGCAATAGGAATCTCCACGTGAGTGAACATGCTCGGCCCACCCCAAACCGTCCAGCCTGGAACCTCTTCTCTAAAACATACAATGTTTTACAAGATCTTGCTCAACTTTATCTCTTCCCAGAAATTTTCTCTTTTCCATTACTGGTTCATCCTCTTCAGTGTATATGTTTAGGCTCCATCCTCAGAAATTATTTTATAGGTCTGACTTGGGGGGCTCGGAAACCTACATTACTAATAAGCAGCCTAATGATTCTAATATGGATAGTTCATGGTCTACACTTTGAGGAACAAAATCAACCTGCAAGTACGTGGTGACTGTCAAAGAAGAGCCAAAAGAATGAGTTTCATTATAGCTTTAAAAATTAAAAATATATTAGGTGATCACAATATATGCTCCCAAGTTTTTTAGAGGCCAGTTCCAGACACTTCCTCATCTTTTGCATAAGACTTTCATTTCAACCTTTCTTCTCGTGACTGGAACACCCTCCCACCAAGCGCCCAAACAAGAAGTCTACATATGCCCACTGCTACCCAACAATGTACACACTTGTCAGGGGCCCCACACCCAGTAACACCTTTCCAGTTTTGGTTGCTGGTCTTAAGAGCACACGGCACACAAAATCCAACGTGTGGGTATGAGATGGGAGCAGCTGTGTAAATGGGAGTCTGTGGCAGTACCTGGAGTCTTGAGATAAAGAGGTCATGTGTTTGTGACTGAAAGAAAAATAGTTGTCTGTAAAAAATTTTCAAGATTCATCTTTAAAGATTCCAGTTATAGTCACTGTTTCCTATTTTAACTGAAATAAATTTGTGCTCCTGCACAAAAACACACTCAATCTCTCCTTCTAAGAAACTATTCTGTTTAATAGTGCACTTCATTTATGCTACAGGATGAGCAGGATTGGGAAGACAGAACCAAAGATCATCCCTTCAGCTGGGAAACTCGGGAGCTCCATCCTAACCCAGCAACGCGGCCGTCAGGCCAGAGACTCCCTTCTCTGGGCTTTGCTTTTTCTTTGCATTCATACTTGGCTGCTGAAGTCAGAAGTGGGGTCAGGAGGGATCTGGCTGCTGGGGCCAGGTGTCATAGGTCACAGGGGACAGAGGGCAGGGCAAGCTGGCTGAGTGAGCTCCATAAAAGCATTCCTAGTAACTGGGGGTTTGGATTAAATCACTTTCCAACACAGGAGCGGGGAGAGGAACAGGGAGAGAGCAGGAGGGAAACCAGGCCAATGCCAAACGCTTCTGCTCCTCTCCGTTAGACTTACTGGTATTCAGATGGATTTCGCAGCCATATCTATCACAGGGGGGGGAAGTACAAGTTCTCCAACAAAACTGCCTGCCTTGCTGCTCTTGCAAACCTGGGCTTGCTGCTCCAAGAGCCCTGCAAAATAGTTACCACAGAAAACCTCTTGGGGTTCCCCCCCCCAATAAAATAACACATCCCTCAGCACCAAGTTTTTCCATAATTAATGAAGTCATGAGACAACAAAAAAATAGCACATTCCTTATCAAAACTTAAAGCTGGATTAGGAACAGTGGCTTTGAAATACAGCCTCCATTTCCCCTTCTTATCAAATAGGACTCAGAACATTCTTTCCACTGCCTTCTGTGCTGACTATACTGACTCCGACTACAGGAATCCTTGGAATTTTATTCCTACTGTGCTTCCATTCCCCACCTTGGAAAGAAAGGCTCCTCTGGTGTGAAAGAAATGGTCTAGTGCAAACTCCCTTCCAGAATGGAAGGTGATAAGTCCCAGAGCCTCCCTCTCATTCGCAGCACTTAACCTGCCGCTCGCCACCTGGTGTCATTCTTGGGGAAACAGACTAGGTAGCTTCATCACTGTGCCAGGAGGATTTGCCCAATTTGCCCCATTCTCTAAAGTGAAAGGGTTGAGTCGGAAGGGATACATTCTAAGTTATTCATACTCATATAGTAAGGCAGGAGCTCTTTAGACTCAGAGGAAGTGAGGAAAACAGGTGTGTGGCTGTCTTTCATGTAGACTCTCGGATATTTAATTCAGCAGTAACTCTGAGAGAATTTTTGCTCATTCCCATCACATTCAAAGGCTTCTCTCCAGTGTGAATTCTCTGATGGCGAACAAGGGCTGAGCTATACCTAAAGGCTTTCCCACACTCACTACATTCATAGGGATTCTCCCCTGTGTGGATTCTTTGATGCTGAATAAGGCCTGAACTATAGGTAAACTTTCCTCCACATTCCATACATTCATAGGGCTTCTCTCCAGTGTGGATTCTCTGGTGCTGATAGAGGTGTGAGCTCTGGCTGAAGGCCTTCCCACACTCGTTACATTCATAGGGCTTCTCTCCAGTGTGGATTCTCTGGTGATGGATGAGGGTGGAGCTCCTGCTAAAAGCCTTCCCGCATTCATTGCAAGCATACGGTTTCTCTCCAGTGTGGATTCTCTGATGATGAGTGAGGGTAGAGCTCCAGCTAAAGGTTTTCCCACATTCGTTACATTCATAGGGCTTCTCCCCGGTATGGATCCTCCGATGCAGAATGAGGGCAGAGCTACAACTAAAGGTCTTCCCACAATCATTACATTCGTAAGGTTTCTCTCCGGTGTGGATTCTCTGATGCTGAATAAGGTGTGAGCTCTGGCTGAAGGCCTTCCCACACTCACTACATTCGTAGGGTTTCTCCCCCGTGTGGATTCTCTGATGTTGAATAAGGTCTGAAGTTCTATTAAAGCTCTTGCTACATTCATCACACTTATGGGGTCTGTCTCCCATAGGAAGTCTCTGATGCGAAATGAGGTTAGGACTCACAGTGAAGCTGTTCCCAAAATCATTATATTTCTCACTTCTCTCTCCTGCAGGGCTTAGCTTTTCCTCAACTGTCACTTGACCAAAATCTTCTATCTTCCTATTCAATCTTTCTCCAGAGGAGTTCCCCATTTGCCTCTTTAGACTGACTTTTTGTTCATAGGCTTCTTCAAACTTAAGACCCTGAGAAATATCCTTTTGGAATCTTCCCAACAGCACCCCACGTGATCCTGTATCTTCAGAAATTTCTTGATCGTGCTCAGTTCTGGTCTCACCATCTGGCACAATACAAAATACAAACATCACTTGTCCCTTGTGGAAGAAAGAATCAAAACCAGAGGGCAGGATAATTACGAGAAGAATGTTCATAGGGCTAAAAGCACATGCCTCTTACCTGCGTGCAGACCTGCCCAGGCTGGGGGCAGCCGAGGCATGCTAAGATAATTGCCTTGAGGAAACAGTGAAGGAGAAAGGCAGGAAGCAAAATCAAAGCAAAAAGAGTTAGAAGTAAGGAGAAGGCTGGAGATGGGAAGAGAGGGAGACAGACCAGGCAAAGGCAGGGAACCAAAAACAGAAGAGAAAGGACATGCTGTTCAATGAAGTGACAAAGTCCCCACAGAGGTCAGAGACTGCAAATACAAGTGGGGAGATGGTGGCTTTCAGAAGATAGGGGAGAACAAATACAAGCAAGCAAGCACAGAAGGCTGATGGGAAACAGCAGCAGAGCAGGAAGAAGCGACAAGGGGGAGGCCACACATGCCAAACCCATGGAAACAGGCAAGATAGAGTTCAGTCCATCTCTGGGCCCTAGGCCTAGGAGGCTGTGCTAGGATGTAAGGATTTGACTCATTTGACTTCTCAGTTTTCACTACTTTGGGGTTTTCAAAGGGAGTTGCAGGGACAGAGGATGAATGAGAAGGATTTAGATAGTCAGCATTTTTACTCTGTCAATGTTTTAAAAAGTAAAGACAGCACAATGAACGTCAGCGACAGAAACAGCTGTTTCTTCCTCATCTGAATAGGCACCTCTCAGGACCTCCTTGTTCTCAGCTCCCTTCAAACCCAGGACTCTCGACTCTTCCTCTCAATGCAGCCCAAAGATTGTGTCAAAATCCAGAAATGGAAATCCCGCCGTGGGGGAAAACATGGGATAAGGTCATGTTAAGCAGTCCCAGGGCTCAATTCCAGACCCAAGGCTTGCAGGGGCCTGAAAGGAAATGTACAGGGGTCTCCAGCGAGAGTCAGGGAGACCCCCTGGCACCGCCCAGAGAATGTTCTCACTGGAAGCGAATGACAGACAAGGAATTCAGTCCACAGACTAAAGGTAAAAGAAGCCAGCTGCTCCCCGAAACAAGCAGAGATCTCTACCAGAGCTGCTGCACTTGGCCCTGAACAAAGCAACAGATCCCCCAAGGTAGTACAACAGAGAAGAGAAGGAGAGTTCCAGATGTGCCCTTGGGCACAGAGCAGGGCCTCCACGTTTAGGGATCCCAACAGGCTAATCTTTTGGAAAAGGCTCTCAAATATACATTAAGAATCACAGGGAGAAAAGCACCAGATTTAGAGCCGAAAGACTAGGTTCAAGTCCTGCTACTTGCCAGCTACACATAAAGCACACGTAAAGCACTGAAGACCTCTGACTTCTCTTTCCTCGCCTGTAACATGAGGAGACTACCAGCGGCCTCCATCACTGTGTTACTGAGAGGTAGAGAGAATGTATATAAAACCTCTTTACAAACTCCAACTTACTACACAAACAGGAGTTACTATCATGATTGTTGTTAGAACTTTCTAAGATTAAGTCAATCCTTAGCTGATCATTTTGTGATTCGACTATTACTACCAAACAAGGAAACAGAAAAATGCCACGGGACTTTTACTGAGAAAGCAAACTCCTTACCCAGCGAGAACACATTTCCATAATTCTCCAGCATCACATCCCTATAGAGGTCCCTCTGAGCAGGCTCCAAACGCTTCCACTCCTTTCGGATGAAGTACACAGCTACATCCTCAAATGTCACCAGCTCCTGAAACAACACGGTCTTGCATGCAATTTCAGGGTGAGGGATGGGACTGGCAGCACCAAATAAATAAATAAGTAAGTAAGTAAGTAAGTAATGGGATGAGGCCGAATGATGCGTATCTACGAGGTGGGGGGGAGAAGGTTATGGTGCAGGAAGAGAGGACTCCGTTATTCAGCAGGAAAGGACCATGTCCCTGATACAGCGAATCACGGTTTAGGGCACCAAATGGATGTCACTGCACAAACGTTTCCACAAAATGGGAAGGAAAAAAAAGAAGGATAAAGGAAACCACAGCTCACCTGGGACTTGGCCTTTAGCAGTGCAGCTGCCAACATCTCATCCCCCAGGCTGTCCTTGTCAGAATACGCAGGAACTTTTGAGGAAGGAAGAGCTGAAAGACAATAAAAGGGTCCGTGAGTGAAGTCATCTGCTCTCTGGCCTCCGAACCCACAGTAAACTCATGGGGTCCTGGAACAATCTAGGGCCCACTCCCTCTTACACATCTAAGTTTCATTCCCCAGTGGCTGTGAAAGGTGCTTACACAGGCACATTCAGTGCGCGTCCCTCCTCCAGAGGAGGGATGTCCAAAGCCCTGTTGATGCTGCTCTCCATCTGCCCCAGGTCCCTTCCTTTCTGTCCAGTCGCTGCTTCTCAGGGAAGCAGGCCCAGTCCTCCATTAGTGATCAGCACCTTCTTGTCCTTTCTCCCAAGCTTGGATAGAAACGTAAACATTCCTGCTCACGTCCCTTCCACCCCTCTCCGCATTTCTCAACTCAAACTCATGCATGAAGGTCTCTTAGACCAGAGGAAACCAGTAGCCTGACTGAACAGATGATGCCCATTATTCTTTCTCTTCATCCCCAAGATCAAATCTAAATACTACATGTTTCCTGTTTCTGTGCTTGATCACGTATCTTCTTCTGTAATTCTATTTTTTTTTTTTTGGTAAGTAGGCTTCACGCTCAGTGCAGAGCCCAATACGGAGCTTGAACTCACGACCCTGAAATCAAGACCTCAGCTGAGATCAAGAGTCGGATGCTTAACTGACCGAGCTAGCCAGGTGCCTCTTCTTTAATCCTTAAGTTAACATATTTGCCCCTTAGAGACTCTAAACCCCTAGAGACACTGGATTGTGTACAATAACCTACAGAGTTCCTTACGTGTTTCTTCCTGATAAGCATACCCTTTAGGACTGTAATTGGCTCTAAGTCAGTGGCACAGTTGATGGAAGCAAAATACAAATACTTTAATGGCTTCTACTCATTTTATCCTTTTGCTTGTGACCTACAAAGCCAAGAGCCCCTCAAGTGCAAGCTCCTAAAGTACACAAACGAGGACTACGAAGTTGGCAGCTACCAAGCACCGAGAAGTCTGTGATTATAACGGTTTTCTTAATTCCTCATGAGGTACCAACAGCACTTCAAAAATGCCTGAGCTATAAAACCTGATAAGCTGTACATCATTATCGTCTTTAGTCAGCTTTCCCTCCAGACTATTAGCTACTGACTATCAGCTACCGACTATCAGCTACCGAAAGGGAAGGACTGTGTCTCCGCCACATGTAGATTCCAGTAGCTGGCCCAGCGCCTGGTGAATAAGAGATTCAGCGTGACTGGGGAATGTCTGAATGCAAGAATAAAAGAATCCCTGTTGCTTACCACTCTCAAGCAGGGGCTGAGGTTCCTGAGATACGCAATCAGCCTGAGTTTCCATCGGTAGGGCCAGAAGCTCTGGGTCTCTGGTCTACTATCTGCAGACTCAGCAGGAAGGTTTTGAATGAGAATGCGGAAGCACTGCAGAAGCAAAGTTCAAGGCGCAATGGTTAAAAAAAAACAAAACAGATGAACAAAAAAAAAAAACCTCCTGGGAGCTAGTATTTCAGGTAGTCCCCAAGACTAGCAAGAGAAAAACACAGAAACTGGGACCAGCCTTCCAGATCCTGGTAAATACATACACCTGCTCCCTGTGATGAACCTGCACGGGCACCACAGAAAGGGCCCCATTCCTAGACAACATCCCACCTCTGGCTCCCACAATGTACTGAGTGATATTTGTAATGACAAAAGATGTGGAATACTGGTGTCAAATAATGACACTGACAGAATGAAACACTAAGCAACGACTGAAATAAAAAACAGAAGAAAATGAAAAAGTGTGCACACATATATTTACAAAACGTGTATGTATTGTATCAACTTTTAAGGATGTTTAGGATAGTGCATAAAGCTAAACATTTACAGATTCTTTTTCTTTCTTTCTTTCTTTCTTTCTTTCTATCTATCTATCAAGAGAGGGAGGGAGGAGGAGGAGGAAAAGGAGAGAGAGGAGGAGGAGAGGAGGAGGGAAGAGTGAGGGAGAGAGGGAGAGGGGAAAAAAGATATGAGAAGAAGGGAGGAAAAAAAAGAGCATAAAAAAAAGAAGGAGTGAGAGGAAAGGAAAGAGAGAAGAAAGAGGAAAGAGAAGAGAGAATATATTAAAAGAGGAAAGAAGTGATGAAAGAGAGGAAAGAGGAGAAGGAAGAAGGAAGGAAAAGGAAGAGGAAGAAAGAAAGAAAGAAAGGAAAAGCCTGACAAGGCTCCCAAACCAGAAAAGTGAAACCTAGATCAGCAGGATGAGCAAACCTAGGCAATCTGAACAAACAAATGAATCATGACCCGAGCAAACAAAATCAAATATAACAACTAAACCAGGCAAACCTCCGCAGATCTCACAAAAAAACCCCAAAGCAGGCTCAGTGCCCTGATCAAGTCGCCAAGTGGCCTGACTCAGCCTCAAATCCCATCCTGATGGTCTGTGAGTTCGGTGGGCTCCTGGGCTGATGGCTCAGAGCCTGAGCCTGTTCCCACATTCTGTGTCTCCCTCTCCTCCTGCCCCGTTCATGCTCTGTCTCTCTGTCCCAGAAATAAACGTTAAAAAAAAAAAAAAAAAAAAACCTCACAGACAGTAGGACTAGGAAAAAAAAATTTTACTTTATTAGGCTTCTGGCTATTGTACCAAATTTTGAGGATAAGGGGCCATGAAACAGCACCTAAATAGCAGAGATTGGAAAAACTTTTCATGAGTTTTCTGGCTCCCATTTAAAAAACCCTGGGGAAATAACACCTGATGCCCAGAAGTAGGGCAAACAGCTCAGATTAATCAAATAAGATAAATCCTTCCTCTCCTAAGATGGTTGTCTGCTTCCAGTCTCAGCCAAAGGCAGGATGCCACTGAGGGACAGGGGCTCCTTCTGTGGTCCTCGTGCAGTGTCATCACAGGGAGCAGGTGTATGTATACACCAGATCTGGAGGCCTGGTCCCCATCACCGAGAAGGCAGCAGCCAGCCTTCTTTCTATCTCCCCTTTCTCCTAATATATCTCCTTGGAGAAGAATCTAAATCCCTGACGCAGGGACCAATACTTTGTTAAGAAACATAAGCTTACTTATTACTCCCTGCTGATGTCCCACTGCTCAGTTGCTATGACCAGCAAAAGAGATCTGTTCTTTGTGGCTCGAGTGAATAAAATGAAACATCAGTATCTAGACCGAGGTTTGGATCTCAAGTGGAAGTTTCTACTGCCCTCTTGAATGCTGTGACAAGAACCAACAGACCCAGGAAAGGCGCAGCAGCTACCAGAGCTTCCTTGCACTTAGGCAAGAGAATAGGAAAAAAAAAAAACACCTGGATTTCATCTACCTCCCTCTTTACATATTTGTTCGTATAACAAACAACTGTTGAGTGTACTACGCTGCAAGGCACTACTGAAAGGAGTAAAAACACAGGAACGTAAGCGGTATCTGCTTCCTCATTATAGACCGCTGCATTCACAGAAGGCATAAAAAGGGGCGGGGCCCAGAGAGTCACTCAGAGCTTACAGAACTCTTGTCTTTGGGCACCAAGGAGGTACAGAATGCCCACCACCAAAGTCTTTACACAGAGAAAGGCACTGAATGAGGCACGGGCCAGGCCCAAGGGCAATCAAGGTGACACACCCTACTGCCACCAGAGCTCTCCTCGCTGGGTCCCTTCAACTCTGTCTCAGAGCCAGCCATCTTTTGTTCCTATCAACCAACTTTACAATTTCCAGGACTGTTTATAAGCAGACCCCTGCAACAAATCAGCTCTTAGTCCAAACTCTCTTTAAAGGAAAATCAGAGGCTCTGACTCCAGAGGAAAAAAAGTAAGCCTCCCTCCTCACAGCTGGGTTAACCAAAGCTGGAACTCAAAGGCATATTGTTGAGAACAAGTCCCCAGTGTCTGGATCAGTACACAGTGTTTCTCATGGGAAGAAAAATCTCCATTGTGCCCCCACAGCGTCAGGTCCAGGCCGGGCCCTTCCTTGCTCTGCTGCCAACACCTCTCCCTGAAGCTGCTCCTTGGGACCGAGAAAGATGACCTGGCAGTGAGAACGAGTCATGAAAAGCTTTACCTGCTGGAATCTTTCCTTCCTTCTTTGGAGTTAGTTGCTAGAGTGGCAATTACCGGGAATTTGGAAGCCTCTGTTCAAGTTCCTGGGAATTCTAACTTTAGTTGATGCCAATGCTGCTGTGTGATGAAGGAAAAAAAAACTTTTTTAAATATTCATAAACTTCATTTCTACTCAAAGAAAAAAAAAAAAAAGACAGAGAGAGAACATATACTAATCAATACAATTAAGACTACAACTGGTACTTGGGTTGCACCCCTAGAGAGGTGAAAGGCAACTGAAATTTCTCCAGGTCAAACTTCCACCCAGTGTAAGAAATGGCTGCCTGGCTGGCTCAGTCAGTAAAGCATGCAACTCTTGATCTCAGGGTTGTGAGTTCAAACCCCACGAAAGAAAGGAAATAAAGAAAAGAAAGAAAAGACCTTCTCAAGTTCCCAATATTCTGACAGCTAACGTGCAAGAAACTCTCAAATTCAGCAGGGAGTCTGTTTCATGGCTGCACAGCTCAGCCATCAGAGGTCTTCGGCTAGAGCTGAAAATCTATCCCCTTGGACCTTCACCTCACAGAGGCCTAGTACCGTATGGAGCTTCAAGAATAGAATCTTTTCTTTCCAGGCAACTGTTGATCAAACACTTGTAAACCACACTGATGCCCACTCTCTACAAACTTCTCTTCTTGGGGATAAATACCTTTAGCTCCTCTCATTATTCCATAGATTTCAGGTTCATCATCCTGCTTATCCTCCCCTGGAGTCTACAAATGCCATTCAGAACGTAAACATCCTTCTGCGTTCAATCCCACTTCAAAAGCCGATCAAATCAGGGATCTAACACAACTGAAAATGGGAGCCAGACACAGCTGTACCATTCCCCGTAAGAGACTCGATTTATTGAACGCCCGTAGGATTATTCCCGGGATCTCAGTTTGCACACTCTCCGCTCCTTCGCCCCATTCCAGACCAAGTTCTAAGTGCGAATACTTCGTTGAACTCCTCAGATCCTCAGACCCGTCTAAGTAAAAATAGACTTCCCCTGCCGCTGGCGCGAACAACCGCGTCAACAACAAATAAAAGCGTCTGGGAGAGTTACCAAGTTAGGGGCGCTGTCATCAGCTGTTCTAAAGAGAGGGACCCGTTTACAGCCATACTGGAACTTTTAAGTGCTCGAACTGGGCAAAGTCACAAAACCAGAACCGGAGCCCCTTTCCTCCCGTCCTGGCAGGGCCCCGTTTGGAGGAAGGAAGCCCCGGGGGAAGCGGAGTCCAGGACCGGCTGCGGGGGACGGAGCGGCGCGTCCCGGCGCCCTGCTCAGGGCGGGCCTGGGGGCCCCGCGGGCCGCAGCGGCGCGGACACCACCCCCTTCCCCGGCGACCACAGTCTCCGTCTCACCGCGAGCCCCGCGGGCGGCCGGACTCACCCTGGGGGCAAGGACGGGAGATCTGGGGAGCCGGACACGGACCAGGCCGTGTCGGACCCTGTCACAGACCCACACACCGGGACAGAACAAAGAACGGAAGTTCTCTCTGTTTCGCTTCCGGGTCGGCGCTTTTCACCGCCCACGCTATCCCCCGTGGCCCCGCCGCGCCCACTTGTTCTCTCTAGGAACATGGGAGGTGTTCTCCTCTCGGTGGTTTGGCGCCCTCGCCCATACCGGCCCTGGCTTTCCGGCCCGCCGCCGCGCCCCCTGTTGGCTGGGCCAGGCGAAGAGCCGCGTACCTCGACCTCTGAGCGCGTGCTCTGGTGCCGCTGACCCCCGAGCAGGCGGCGGGGGCGGCCGGGGTCCCCCACGAGCTGTCGAAGGCAGGGGCGAGCGCACCTTGCCCCAGCGACCGGGGTCCCGAGCCGACCCGCTGCAAAAAGCAAGACTTTCGAAGGATTCATCAATAGAAAAAAAAAAATCACTTTTATTTGAAATTCCCAAATAAACCAAGTTTATGCTTCAAAAACCAAGTTTTGTGTTTGTTTCATGTAAAAATGCCCCCTTTAAATTACTAAAATCTGGGGGCGCCTGGGTAGCGCAGTCGGTTAAGCGTCCGACTTCAGCCAGGTCACGATCTCGCGGTCCGTGAGTTCGAGCCCCGCATCAGGCTCTGGGCTGATGGCTCGGAGCCTGTTTCTGATTCTGTGTCTCCCTCTCTCTCTGCCCCTCCCCCGTTCATGCTCTGTCTCTCTCTGTCCCAAAATAAATAAATAAACGTTGAAAAAAAAAATTTAAATAAATTACTAAAATCTGAAGAAGCCATTGCAGCCCGTCAGAGAGTTACCGTAAAGACAAAACCTGCCCAAGTTGATGGGAGAGAAAAGTCGGGGAAGTTACCGATGGATG